GAACTGTCATTCCGAACAGTCTTGCCCATAAAGAGCAGTTTAACCAAGTAATAGTGCTCAAGGCACAAGCAGCAATACTATGTTGCCCCTCACAGGGAGTCCCAGGAAGGTTCTGGAGAACAAGCCACCTCTGAGAGCATCCTGCCTATATTCACACTACAGGACTCCTGTATGATAGGCTAAAGGGTGGTACTGGTTTAAGCTTTAGCCTGTAACCCCTAATGGGTCTGCAAAACTTGAGAACTGCCACATTCCATTTGACGGTTTTTGCTACTGTGTGCGTCTCAAGGCACGTGAACCCTTGGATTGTGATAGTGAAAAAAAGCCACTAGCCTTTACTCCCCAGTAGCTTCAGGTATATATGTGCTTTGGCAGCAGGAGGAGTTTAATTCTTATTTCCTACTATAGACATGCAATTCTATAGGGAAGACAGTAGAAATGTGATGGAGAAAGAGTGACATTAATCTCATCTCTTTGACATAGCCACCAAAAAAACACCTTGACACAATTGGAGAAGAACTCTGCCCCTTTAAAAAAGCTGTAATAAGTTACTTTTCACAGGAAGAAACAAGCAAAACCCAACAAACAAACAAAAAATCCAATGGCAGGGCTAGGAGTAGGGAAATTACGAGTTAGACTTCTTTCCAGGACATTTTCCCTAGCTGGAATAGGACTGATTTCCAGGCCAGAGTGGCAAGAAAGGGCTCAGGGGCATTTGGTTATACCTGAAGTTCTCCAATGTAATCATGCAGTCTAGGCATGGTCTAATGTGGGCTGCAAATGGCACAATATGGTCAGTGACTATAGACAGCGATTATGGCACTCCTTGAAACCTATTACTGAGAATCTTTCTGACAAAATTTAAAATTCAAAGTGTTCCCTTAGAAGACTCTGCATTACATGTCCATGATTAGATAAGAAAACTAATTTTAATGACCAGAACTTTTCCCTAGTGCCTCATCCTAGACTTTGCTGGGATTAAAACTCTGTCTAGCCTATGCCAGCACTGACAGCTGGGCTCATTTCTCCCATAGCAGAACAAGGCAGGGGTTGGGGGAACATTAATGCCTTCTCCTTATCATAAACATCACTCCATCAGAACCATTCCAAGTCACAACTGTATGGGGCCAAGAAGGATGGAAGGGGATTATATCAGCAGTGGGGAAGGGCCTGAAAGCTATATTCAGAGGGCTGCTGGAACACAGTAAGGCCAGCCCTAGCAACATCAAAGGCTACAGCAAGGAGCTAATTTATACAGCTTAGTCAGTTGGATTAGACCTTTCATTAGAATGCAGAACAAACCTCTTCTTCTTGGCAGACAGGAGTGAGAAACAGAATAAAAATGGAAATCGGATCTGAGCCCTGAATTCCCCATTCAGCATGAGTTCCTCTTATTTGCGTAGGAACTCTAGTTTGCTTGGCTTTGTTTGAAATAAAGGTAACAGGAAATTTCAGGGCAGGATGAGGTCAAGGTCTCTTGCATTGGGGCCAGCAAGCCCTGGGAGCACTCTTAAGTCAGAACACCCCGTCCTAGGAGGAGGACAAGCACAGGGCGAGAGCATTTGCCATGGCATATCAGCAGTACCATCTCTCTACAGCTGCATCTTCAGCAGGCAAACTCAACACTGAGACTTTGGAAAAGACTTTTCTTAGTTTGAGTTGAACTAGTAGTTGTCATGCTGTACAGACTCATCGACAGTCTGATACTTGAGTGGATGTTTCTTAGCATGCAGAGCACCAGGATGAAGCCACTAGTGAGCTTGTTACTTTTTCCCTAATGTGCATCTTTTGAGGAAGTTGCTGCTCTCTTTCAGGGTATTGCAGGCTAAGAGAAGATGATGGTTTGGTTTAGGGGGTTTTTTAATGCCTCTGATTGTAGGATTATTTGCATTAAAATCCACAGAGGTCAGACAGAAAAGCCTGAGTTTGACCTCAGTCATGTCAGCATGGCTAAGGGGTCAGTGGAAGTGGTGTGCAGGTATACTGCAAATGCAGTTTAAGATCAGAAGTAAGTCCATGTATTTAAAACAGGAATTAGTTTTCTCTACTTACTGTATCATTGTAACAAAGCATGCTTATGTGTAAGAAGGTATTTGTTGCTGGTCTCTAGGACTTGTCTTTATTGTGTTTTAGGGCAGAAGAAAGAAGGAAAGATCTCACTCTATTGGGTAGCATTTATTTTACAATTTCATGTAGATTTTTTTTAAAAAACAGTCTCTGGAATGTAATCAGACATACTTAGATAAAATATTTCTTGCCCTGAAACAGAATTGATTGAAATATTAACAGCTGTTAGAAAGATACATGCCTGCATTTCACTTCATGCTGTTGAAGCCTTTAAATCACTATATTAGCACCTCAAATTGTAAACAAAAAACAATTTCCTGGCTGCCATAAGAGAAGAGAAAAGAGACTGCTAGTTATAAGCAAACTGTGCCTCTAATTATTTTATTAATATTGAAAATTGTAACTGACAGAGCAATTAGGGTTGAATATTACCCCAGGAAAGCAGCTTGACCAATGTTGTTCATCCTATTAAATAGATGTAACTTAGTTTAACAGAGGAAAAATAGGTTCCTTGTGGTTTATCTCATTAAGGTGATTTCCATAATTCCAATAGCGATTCCTACATCTTTAGAAGTAAACTCGGTAACAGACAAAAAGACACAGTCGCATTGGGTTTGTGAGGAACTTAGAAGTTTTCTAATTCTGTCACAAATTTGTTAATTGTCCATTAACAAATGGACATTGCTTAATTTGTTTAATTTGGCCTTAACTTATTCCTAAATGAGATAATCCCACAGTCTCCCTTCCTCTGAAGTATGTCCCTTGGATTTCTTTAAAACCCTTGTATCTCTCTAGGTACCTTTTGTTGCACCACCTCAAATCTTCTACATGCACTTAACATTAAGAGGCTCTAATTTTCTTCTCTCTTATACCTATTTTTCATCAACATAAATCCATTGACTTTAGGAGGATTGCACCTGACTTGCTCCAAGAAAACCAGACTGAAAGAATCAGCCTTATAGTGTCCAAAGTCATATTCAATATTCTAAAAACGACCATTTTTTTGATTGTTTTCTGCAGAAATAAACTTATTTCCCTTGGGTCCACCACACAAGACAGTACTGTTGCTGCAGGACCTAACAGACATAAAGATTCTGAGCATGACATGACCTCCCTTTAACATTTAAACTGCGGTGCTGTTCAGGAAACTATATGACTAATTTTTAAAGAATTACAGCCACAGATATTTTTTCCAGTTCTTCCTTTTGGTCTTAAAAAACAAATCAAACTTTAATTTTCTGCCATTTTCCCTCCATACACTGGAAAATACTTAGGATACATTTTCACAAAACTGAAGGAAATATCTTAAGAAAAAACTTCTTTGAAGCCAGAGAGAACATAGATTTGCCGTGATATTTTCCCACTGTGAGGTTTGCTATTCACATACAAGGATAAAAAGTCAACCTTTATCTATGTTACGAAAGGCAGCAGTATAGGTGCTGGAAAAAAATATTTCCTAGCATAAGCAAAAGGCAAGCATACAGCTGCAAACATCATAAAGCAGTATTTTATCCACCTAAACTGTTCTTTCACAAATCAAACTACAGGATTCCTGTCAAGTTAAAAATCTTATTGTATGTAATTTTAAGTGTCTCCTCCCTTTTATTCTGTTACTATCTATACCCTTCATTGTTTACAATAAGACAGAAGTCTCATCCTATTGTTTTACGACTCCCTCCTCTGTTGTTTGCTCTGTGTGTTGCATGGGTGAAGTTTCTACACTGGAATTACAAAAGAAGACTAGTAAAAGAACGTGAGCTTCATTTCTTGCCTCTAGTGTAGAGCCTGCCAAAACTAGCGTTGAGGTTTGCTGGAAATTTATGTCATTTGAAATTTAGGTTGGTTCTGAACCAGACAGGAATCTTTTCTAGTTTGGTTTTGGGTTTTTTTTCTAACTCTCTCCTAAAGACAGGAACAGATTGTAATCTCATTGAGCAGCTGCAAAGAGCTGGGCAGTTCCCAGTCCCTAAATGACCTACTAAACAACTACTCACAGCAGAGGCTGTTAGCAGAAGAGCCAGCCACATTAGCCCTCAGGTCAGGAACCCTCAATTTGCAGCAACCCCTTCCCTACAGAAAACATACCAGGAATCTGTGCAATCTGGCAGAATGTGGCATGTTGTTCAGAACCAAAACTTTTTCAGGCTTATAGAAAATGTAAAACTATCTCACTGCTGGTCTGCTGGGAGAAAAGTCAAGTCTTAGGAGCTACTTCTGGATCTGTAGAAATCAAAAGGTCTTTTATCTCAAAATGATGCATGCAAGGAGGTACCATGTCACTAGGATTTAACTCCCCTGATAAGTAAAAGCAATTCCAGGAGAGAAATCCACTATTGACAATGTGGGGAAAAGATTTTGAAGTAGTGAGGTTAGGTGTATATTGGGTGCTTTGACATTGAATTGAAAACTCCAGAAGCAGGCAAGGTATTGTGTGCTTTATGGCCAGAATAATGCCACAGCAGGGTACAGTAAGCCATGCTTTCTGTCTTGGGCCAAATATGATCCCAAGTGAATTTCACTAGTATCACTGAAATCCTCCAGGGTCAGCTGGTTAAACTTCCTAGGACTGACTCTGGCAAGAGCATCAAGCACAGGGCTCAGCTGGGGTATGTGTTTTTAGAAGAGAACAGATGATCCACACAATGGAAAATACCAGGCAGGTATATCTCTGTCTGATAAGGTCCATTACAAGATTTCCTGTGTGCTATTTCCCAGCTCCAATTCTGTTTTACCTTTTTACAGATAGATATAAAACTCTAGAACTATTCAGTGGAAACCTTCATAAACTGCAAGCAACTCATCTTTTAAAATGCCATAAGAAGCTCAGTGGCACTGTGATTGACCTAATCTACATACCAATGACATTCCTAACAATTCATGGCCTGCATCAGTGACATACACATAGTGGTCATACACATAGTGCCTGTACTCACAGTTTTCACAGCGATTGCCTGTATAGCCAGCCAGACAGGCACATTTGTAGGTACCGCTTTTGTCTAGAATGCACGTTCCATCATGACGACATGGGGATGAAGAGCAAGCTATAAAAGAAAAGCAAGAATGTTCATTGTCTCTCCTAGGATGGCAGTCCTTATCTATTTTTCCTTATGATGGTCGTATCTTGGGGTAAATTACATATTCTGCTTAAAAGTTAGGAAGACACAGTAAAGGGCACAATGCATGTCAAAAAGCCTTCTGCTCTTCTTTCTTACTTACTGCAGAGGGGATCTTATAGGGATGGGCAGTTCTTTTCCCAGCATTCATCACTTACTCTTACCATTTTCCTTTAACTGTAGTCAAGTGGTGAGAAAGGTTTATGGAAGAAAAATAACTTACAGCAAGCTTCAACAGTGTTTAGAGCTTAGCCTAAATTAAAGAAGTTTAATATTAACCTACATTTCTCCTGCCATTCATCCCAGAGTTAGGGAGAAGTTCTGGGATCCATGGTTCTGGTGGTTTTTTTGGGTCTTGGATCTTGTCATTGCAGACTTTGAGAATTGCTCTGCCCATGAGGAGCACTTCTTTTGTGTTGGGTTCAGGAAGATCTGAATGGTCATGATGACCACGTCTGCTGAGGAAGCTCTTGCACACCACAAATCTAGCAATGATACACATCAAACTATACATATCAGCATAAATTAATATCAGAATGTGTAATTGCACCACTTAATATCAGCAAATTCCACTGTGCAATAACACACAGGTTTGTTTGTGCCTGCTCGAAGGTGAGATGAGTGAGTAGAACGTAATTTACTCTCAAAAATAAAGAAATCATTTCCACTTAGATTATTTTCCACACTGAGTGTGGGTTTTACCAGACAGAAAGTAGAGCCAAAATGTAAAGATTTAGATCCAGTTTAAGATTCAAGTAACTCCAACACTTAAGGAGTTCAGGATCTGATGCCCTGCTTCAAGTCCATCTGAACAGAACTCTGCAGCAAAGTTCACATCCGGATCCATACCAGAACCTGAGTTCAGTTTCAGCTCACATTGACTACAAAACATACTCCTTGTCATCTTAAAGAATTATCCAGCATACTTGGATCAAGCATGCTTGATCCCTCTGTAGAAGAATCTTGACAGGCTGGGTCAATGGGCTGAGGCCAACTACATGAAGTTCAACAAGGCTCAGTCCTGGGTCCTGCACTTGGCTCACAACAACCCCATGCAATGCTACAGGCTTGGGGAAGAGTGGCTGGAAAGCTCCTTGGTGGAAAAGGAACAGGGGATGTTGGTTGTCAACCGGCTGAATATGAGCCAGCAGCATGCCCAGGTGGCCAAGGCCAACAGCATCCTGGCTTGTATCAGGAACAGTGTGGCCAGCAGGACTAGGGGAGTAATTGTGCCCCTGTACTCAGCACTGGTGAGGCCACACCTTGAGTGCTGTGTTCAGTTTTGGGCCCCTCACTACAAGAAAGACATTGAGGTGTAGATGTGGTGCTTAGGGACATGGTTTAGTGGTGGACTTGGCAGTGTTAGGTTAACGGTTGGACTTGATGATTCTATGATTCTGTAACTTTGAAATCGTAATTGCTAGCAAGGTCTGCATTCTAATTCATTAACAGATCATCTTTGTCCTTCCATGCTAAACACACTGATTACTTTGGTTATAATAGAAATCTGAATCTTTGTACCAGCCATTGAGTTTTGCAACTACGAGCAACCATCCCTGGGGGATCTATGGTTAGGTTATGTATTATTACATTTAAAGCATTCTCTCTGCTGCAGTCCAGAATGACAGATATCAGAATCAGCTGTTTTCCTTGCAAAGACTTCACTTCATCTTTAAGTGTCTTATATCCAGATGCCAAGACACAAGAAATATATAGATGCCACACTTGGATTTCTCTGGAGGTTTCATGTCATGATGTAACAGCAATTCATTCACGGCTGGGCAATGAGTATCTTCCAGGTCTCACTGAAGACTAAGGTCTGACTAAGGACAGTAATTCATTCATTAAATGGAATATATATGTGGCAATTGTACAGTGTCCGACTAACGTAAAATATCACTGAGAAAGGAAAGGAGAAGCAGAAGAGCCTGTACAGACTGATATTTTGTAATCACTGGTTTGAAGCCAGTGAACTTTCAGCTTTGTCCTTGCCCCAGCTTTGTCTCTTTGTCTGATTCTGTAAAGTAAGCATGTCAAGTGAATGAGGATAAGTGCCAGATACCATCCTTGAAAATGCTTGACATTCAAGAGCACTAAATATTTTTATTTTTAAAGGAGTCTTGACTTCCTGGCTTCAGTCAAACAACATGGGACAGTACTACAAAAGGTTAAAGCCCCTATGTTGTGTCAAAGATCACTAGCTTGGGGGTACAGAAAGTAAAGCGTTATTGAAATTCAGTAACAGGCTTTCATCTAACTAGATCCAGCATATGTCTAATCCCTAAGAGACCCTGATGCCTCCCCATCTGGCTGCCCATCCTTCTCATCTGAAGTCTGTCGAGTGACTTCTAGTCACTCATGCCAATTACTGGTTTCCATTATTTGACATTTGGCATGGCATGGGATCTATCTAATACCTGCTTCCAGACCAGGCAGCGCAGCAGGTTGTGTGGTTTCGTCCTTTAATAACTACACATGCAGTGACCTTTCCTAAAGGGGATATAGGCTTTGCAGCTTACTTTGTATCCATCAAAATCTTTCTGGCAGTGAACCAGCGACCTCTCTGCAGTCAGTGCCACTGCTTCAGCAAGCTATGATTTATAAGCCAACACAGACCTCAGAGGAAGGGAAGACAGAAAGGGAAGGAATTCAGTTCTGACAGCGCAAGACGCTTTCGTCCTCTCCATTACAATACTAAGGTGCTGGGGACATCAGATCACCTCCACGGCCTGGTCCACATCCTGTAAGCACAAGTGCTGCTGCTGCTTTCACCTGCAGTGCAGGGAATTGCTCTAGCAAGCCCTATGCAATCTGTTCCGGGGACCTCGGCTTTTCCACAGTGCTGTGCACAGAGGGAAATTTCAGAGGAAATGCTTCAGTTTGCAATGTGTTGCCAGAGCTTTAGAGCCTGTGCTGCCCCCACTTTCAATTATATGCTGCCCCATGCACGCTGTATTCTTTGCCCTGAACTGTCCTGCTGGACAGGTTAATAATTCACATAAGAAGACACTGGGAGTGTTTTAAAAGCCTTTCACTGTGGCTACACATTAGGCCAGAACAGCCTGATAATAAAGTGCACAATAAGACCTCCTCACAAACTCTAAGAATCCCTTTGCAATGTGCTCTGTGTGGATTACCACACTTGCAGCCACCTCGCCTCAGAATAATTACCACTAAAAATGGAGCAGAAATACAGTGCTCAACAGTATTCGAATACCAAGTGTTCCCTGCTTGGCAGAGAAAACAAAATCAATTTAGCTTGTACCATATGGAAAATGTTAATTCCCTGAGTGTAGGCAGCCCTTATGCAACATAGCCCACACCACATTCATTTGTTCTATATCACCTCTCCTGCTGTAAGCCTAGGCGAACTATCAATAGCTAACTGCTCCTGCTATGTTACTAACATGTACTAAATGTAACATTTGAAGAATAGGGCAGGCCAAGAAATGGCACATGCACTGCATCCAGCAGTATGCACATTTTAGATTGCTAGTTACACCCCTGATCATTGCTAACAGCTGATCCACTGTAGGTTTCTGTATTTATATAAGGATTATATAAATTAACCAAAATTCCTGAGCCAGATATACCCTGGATGACCTCATGAAATGTGGGTCACCAGGGTGTGCGGAAGGCAAGTTATGGTGTGTCATAAATCCTGCAAAGTTTATCTATGGCAAAGCAGCACACTCTGATTAGCCTTCTGTGCCAGGAGTACTGTGGATAAACTTGACCAAAATTCTCTACATAGCTAAACAAGGAAGATCCAGGAAGCGTGTAGAGGCTGCTTCAAATGCAATAGCAAAATGAGGAGTCAGCTACACTTTCAATGTTATTTTGCAGCCTGAAAGAAACAGTGGAAAGCAGCGTGGGGGACTCAAGCACTGAGTACTAACAAAAACACAGGAATTCTGGAGCCCTGCTTCTGTCATTTGTAACACTGAGTTCATCACAGAATGGGAAATGCCTCTTTTTTTTTTTTTTTTCCTTAAAGAAAATAATCTGTCCTTTGTACACTTTTTTTTTTTTTAAGCCCTAATGTTATGATACATGGGCCAACACAAGAGTCATGTCAGGATATTTTCACTGAGCTACTTATGAGGCTTTGCATTAAGTTTTTGCTAATTGAGACAATGACTCTGCTCCTGCACATAGCATTGAGCAATTCTGCAATTGCAGATACACACACCCCTTCCCCTATTTTCTTCTGTGCTCTTAGTTCTCAGATTCAAACAGAAAAGTTTCACAAAACAGCAGCTTTTTTGTGCTGACTGATGTGCTTGTTCTTCATGCAGGAAGAAGGAATTCAGTCTTTGTTAGAAGAGCCTCACATTCACATGCCATCTGACGGCTTTTGAATCTTCCCTGCACTGACTTAGTGTAAGTTGCTGTTGGCAACACAGCATGAAAGTTTTTAATGAAGCAAAAAAGACAGAGAGATTAGTGAAATTGAATTAATGAGTGGCATGTTCCACTTTTGGATTATTTTACCTGTAATTTCTTCAAAGACAGCATGAAATCCATCAAAGTTCTTGGATCCATCAGACTGGAAAAGGACATGGAGTGAAGACCCAGTGCTTCGAATGGGAGGTGGCCTCTCATTCCCACAGAATTTCTTAATTATTCGGCTGTCCAAATTGTCCCCATCACGGATCTCCACATAGTCATACTGGCACATGTAGTCAAACTCCAGGCTCAGCATGGAAAATCTTGGGGAACAAAGAAAGACACACAGTCAGACTGTGTACTCTTACCTGTGCACCCTGACTCTGATTTATTTGGATGTTTAGTTATGCTAGTGCCTCCCCCCCTCTCAATGAATGAACAGGTGCCTAATCACATGAAGTCCCCCTCAATTCATCTCGACTTTTGCATCATGATCCTTGGAAGCCAGCTCAGCTCTAAATAGTTGCTCCATGAGAACATTTAAGTGGCAGAACAGTGAAGACTAAGTTGAAGTTATACAGTCTGTTCACATGCATCAGGTCGCTAACCACATTACGATGTTAGAACTTTCATCTAGGGTCAGACACTGTAGGGGGCATATTTCTATTGTGGCCGTTTGCTAGAAATTGTTCTATTTCCCCTAAATAAAGTTCTAAGTACTGAAAGTAACATTATCAAAAACTCAAAAGCTATTTATATTGTGATGTTCAGAAGTCAGCAGTTAGGGGTACAAGGAAAGCTTGGGGATGTAACAGAAGCCAAAATAGACAAAGGTAATTTGAAACACTACTGCACATTTTGCTTTAGAAAGCAAATTGGTACTAAATCCTCAATGTCTGGCACTTGCCCGTCTTTTGAGGGCAGAAATAAGGGACAGGAGTTAGTGCAGAAGGTAAATATTTAAAGCCTTTCCCCACAATGTCTGTCTTTCCTAGCTTTGATCCAGCCACTGCGCAAGGCTCTTGTTTGTTAACAGCAATGTTATATGTTGCTGTTGGAATTCAGTGGGGCACAGAGCCAAAGCACCCCACCAGAATATGAATGAGAAGCAGAGTGAGAAACACCAAGTGCCTCTTGGCACTAGAATGAGGAATGGCCAGGGATGCTGGGTCCAGCCTTGGTATAGCAGATAAAAATGAGAAGATCTGGGCCTGGGAGAGGTCATGCTACTAACCATTCAGCAGAATATTTTATAAATGAAACTTGCTGTGTACTCAATCTTTCTGAGAACTCCTAATGCCGCAGACACATGTATTTAGAATTCAGCTGAATCTCCCACATTGCCTGTTCCAGTGTGGGCCTGGTGATTTGCAAAGACTGCATTTTCATACCAAAGAGGTGAGACAAATTTTGGATCTCCTGCTGGATCTCACAGTCTGAAGAGGCAAGAGAGTACTGGAGTCTATTTCCTGCTCTTCTCTTATTGGGACTCAGGCTCCCATGTTAAGGAGGCCCCCATGTTATGCAAAAGGACTTTTCTTTACAATTCATGAGCTGATTTCACAGAGACATGGTGTGATAGCTCCTGTGACTGGAGTGATGGGATAGAAGGATACAGGCTTTTTAGGAAGGACAGGCAGGGCAGACGAGGAAGGGGTGTCGCCCTCTACGTCAATGAACAACTAGAGTGCCTGGGGATTGATAAGGAGCCGACCGAGAGCTTATGAGTCAGGATTAAAGGGAGCGCTGGGGCAGGGGACACCACAGCTGGGGCTTCCTACAGATCACCTGACTGGAGACCGAGTGGATGAAGGCCTCTATAGTCAGATAGGAGCAGCCTCACATTCACAAGCCCTGGTCCTTATGGTGGGCTTCAACCACCCCAACATCTGTTGAAGGGGCAACACAGCAGGGCATAAGCAATCCAGAAAGCTCCTGGAATGCATTGATGAACAACTTCCTCCTCCAAGTGACAGAGGAGCCCACGAGGAGAGGTGCCATGTTGGACCTTGTTCTCACCAACAAGGAGAGCCTGGTAGAAGGGAAAGTGAAGCTCAAGGACAGCCTTGGCTGCAGTGATCACGAAATGGTGGAGTTCAAGACCCTCAGGGCAGCAAGGAGGACACACAGCAAGCTCACTACCCTGGACTTCAGGAGAGCGGACTTTGGCCTCTTCAGGGATCTGCTGGGTAGAATACCATGGGACAAAGCCCTGGAAGGAAGAGGGGCCCAAGACAGCTGGCTAATATTCAAGGGTCACCTCCTCCAAGTGCAGGAGCGATTCATCCCAACAAAGAGGTAGTCAGGCAAAAATGCCAAGACACCCCCATGG